ATAATTTAAGTTGAAGTCGTGTATTTTATATATATACATAATATATACCCCTCATAATAACATATATATACTATATATAATAATATATATATATATATATTATATACTCTTTTAAACTCAAAATAGTTAATATGACTTTTTAAATCAAATAGTTAATTTAGTTTCTTTTTTTTACCTTATTTCACTAATACTTTGTTGCCATTAGCTAGAAATAATGTGAATAAAATTTCTGCTGCGGTTCTATAAGTGATGATCAATGTTGACAGAAGAAAGAATAACTATAGAAGGCTTAATCAAAGCAAAAGAAAGGGTAATTTATTATTTAGTCCCTCAGGTTTTACATAATTAATCAACTAATCCCAAGTTTTACGCAAATATCTAATTAGTCCCTCAGGTTTAACTCCGTCTAATTAAAAGGTCCTTCCATCCGAAAAGTTGATTTTTTAAGTTGATTTTTTTTTCCGTTAATAATGAAGACTAAAGACTCCCCTCCCTAGCTGACGTGGACTATAAGGGAAAATTATTATCTAGTCCCTCAAGTTTTACATAATTATCTAACTAATCCCAAGTTTTGCGCAAATATTTAACTAGTCTCTCAGGTTTAACTCCGCCTAATTGAAAGGTCCTTCCGTCCGAAAAGTTAGTTTTTTTCCATTAATTGAAGACTAAAAGACTAAAACACCCCTTCTAGCTGACGTGGACCAGCATGAAGCGATAATGATATACTAGTTTGTTTTCCTTTTGTTCTTTCCATGCCATAATGATATACCTAGTTTATCTTTTGCACAAATAACCTTGCATTAAATATTAATATTCATATTCAAAGTTATGAAATTATAATAATATAGGTGGCAATAATAATTTCTTTTTTTATCTATAAATAACTATTATTTTTATTATTTTAGAGCCGGTGTTTTCTACGCAAATATCTTTTTTTTTAGAATATTAATTTTATATTAATGAGTAATTTAATTATTTTATTTTAATTTTATCCTTATTTATATTAAATTTAATAATTATTTTTATAATTTTTCAAAATACATATAACATCTACTTAAGGTTACGTAATAAAATTAATTAATATTTTGTTATAATTTATAAGAATAAATTTACTTACTTAATTACCATAAAAATATTAAAAGTATTTATGAATAGATGGAATACTTTGTTTTTTTTTTTAGATTTTATCAATGATAATAGAAATGTTTCTTGATAAAATTTGCATATTAAATATGAATAAAATAGAAAATATGTTTATTACTTTTTTTTCTAAAAAAGAAACTATGATGATAATTTGGGGTAAAAAGAAAAATGAAGTAATTACTTTTTTGAAGATGTATTTACTTTCATGATTCACTCAAATTTAATAATATTTAATTAGAACATCAAATTAATTTTTTTATCCTTTTTTTAATACTGTCTTTGTTTTATAATACTTGTCAGATTTGAGAAAATAGTTTGTTCTAAAATATTTGTCTAATTTAGTCTAAAATACTTGTTATATTTACGGTTTTAAGGAGTAATAAATATTTTTTTCATATTTACCCTTTGTGTATGATTAATAATTATTATTTCAATTTAATGATTTTCTTAGAGATTAATATTAAATTAAGAGTAATATTGTCAAAATTTATTCAATAATTTATTATAATTAGATAATTATGTAAAACTTGAATGACTAAATAATAATTTTCTCTTATCGCTTCATACTGGTCCACGTCAGCCAGGGAGGGTATTTTAGTCTTTTAGTCTTCAATTAACGGAAAAAATCAACTTTTCAGACGGAAGGACCTTTTAATTAGACGGAGTTAAACCTGAGGGACTAAACCTGAGGGACCTAGTTAGAATATTTGCGCAAAACTGGGATTAGAAATTGGTTAAAATTATGTAAAACCTGAGGGACTTAAAATAATTAAATTACCAAAAAGAAAACTAATTAAGATGAAAGTGCCAAGTAAAAAATAGGATAGAAGCTATAAAATCAATATCTGTGAGATCCTAACACAATTTTACCATAATTTGTTTGTTGAATGATAAAAATGCAAATTAAAAAATAATCTATTTAATATGAAATAAAAAGGGAAATAAAATATTTAATGCGAATAAGAAAAAAAATACGAAACCATATTTTAAATTGAAACGGAGTAATCCTTATTTAATTTTGATGTTAAAAAAAACCATTATTTAGCTTATGTTATTAAATTTTATTATTGTGATTGAATAACATTAGTATTATCTTTAGTTAAAAGTTTAATTCAGAAACTTTTTTTATATAATTGGAACCATACGAATTATATATATATATTAATATAATAACTTTGGAGTTAAACCTGAGGGACTAGTTAGATATTTGCGCAAAACTTGGGATTAGTTGGTTAATTATGTAAAACCTGAGGGACTAAATAATAAATTACCCCAAAAGAAAACTAATTAAGATGAAAGTGCCAGTAAAAATGGATAGGAAGCTATAAAATCAATATCTGTGAGATCCTAACACAAACCATAATTTTTGTTGAATGGATAATGCAAAATTAAAAATAATCTATTTATATGATAAAAAGGCAATAAAATATTAATGCGAATAAAGAAAAAATACGAAACCATATTTTATTGAAACGGAGTAATCTTATTAATTTTGATGTTAAAAAACCATTATTTAGCTTATGTTATTTAAATTTTAGTTATTGTGATTGAATACATTAGTTTATCTTTAGTTAAAAGTTTAATTCAGGAAACTTTTTTTATATAATTGAACCTACGAATTATATATATATATATATATAACTTTTGGTATCCTTAACTTGAAAAATGATTTTGTGGCCATCTTTTGATCTTGTGATTTCTAAATTTTATTTTTTATAATAGTTTCATACTGAATAAGCTCCAAGAAATCATAAGTTAACAAAACAAAATTAAAAAATAAAGTTGAAGAAAAAAACATAGAAAACTAAAGAAATGAATAACATACTTTCAAAATTGAGAAGCCATAAATTCTTTTGTAAAAATTTAAAGATTGAATTTTGTATTTGGTCGAGTTTGCTTAAGAAATGAAGAAGATACTTCTAATCTTCTATGTCCTTGTGTTGAGGCATATATGGTGGATCTCATTCTCAACAAAGTATTAATACAAGCCTTGACTAGAATTGCAAAAATACTCCAGAAATCAAATCATACCCTGTCCACTCAAGAAAGAACATGGGAGATTTAGCTTAATCAAAGTTTCAAATTCACCCATTTGATCTTCACAATCAGAAATAAAACTCAATTCTTCCACTTGAATCTTTAACAAGTCACACCCACTATCTTATATGACCGCATGTGCCCAAATCGAAAGTCTACTCAACACAGTTGACCAATAATTTCCTTTTCCTATAAATAGAGAACAACGCTCCCTGTCCCGTTATCAATTTATCACAATCGGTTTATCACGCAAAAAAGAAACAGTTACAGATAAAGGAGTAGAAAGAAATATGGCAACAACGGCAGCCGCTGCGGAAGGAGCTCCGAAGATTGTGTGGAATGAGAAGGAAACTAGATTTGAAACGGAAGACAAAGAGGCATACATCGAGTATGTGCTTAGAAACGATGGGAAAGTGATGGATTTAGTCCACACATATGTCCCGAGTTCAAAGAGAGGCTTAGGCATGGCTTCTCACCTTTGTCTTGCAGCTCTTACTCATGCCAAGTCCAACTCCATCTCTATCATCCCTTCCTGCTCCTACGTTTCTGTGAGTCCATTTCCCTTTCTGGCTTTTGTCTATTTATCGTACTTCGATTTTCTTTGTGAAGAATTGTTAAATCTGATATGAACTGACCTTAGGGTTTCGTTTATTTGAATTATTCCCCTTCGCTTGGCAGGACACCTTTCTTCCGCGGAATCCGTCTTGGAAATCTGTTGTTTACTCAGAAGAACCCAAATCCAATATATAAGTAACCAGCTTCTGCCATACGAGGACGGGTTGCTTGTAATTTGTAATAATAAATCAGTAGTTTGTGATAATTTCCTGGATGTTCACCTATTTATCAGCAGAAAAATAATCTCTGCTTGCTTCCTGTATTTTGTTTATCCATCTTTATGCAGTGCTTCTCGTATGCCTTTTCACTCTGATCAAATTCGCGGCGTGTGTGCTGCATTAGTCTGTTTTTATTTTTGTTTTTCCTTGTTATAAAAATATTCATTATAAATGAATTAGAGCTATATAACTCTGTCCAACGCATGCATAAATAGATGACTAGAAGTACCAAATGTTCAAAACAAAAAATCAGAGGCTTAATATGTACTGTTGAACTTTATTAACTTGTGTCACCTTAACTATCCATAAAATACTTCAATTTATAAAATTATATATATTAAACGCTTTACTTTTTAAATTTATTTTATTAAACATTTCGATTTTTAAAATTAAATCAATTAAATACACATTAAAAAGCTAAAATTTATGAAAAATTATTTTTCTAAAAATCATGTTAACTAAATATCAAATTAATATTTTGCACATAAAAGCCAAAAGCCTAAAAATTATTAATATTTGTATCAAAAAACGTGTAGTATTATCAGAATTTATAAGTTCAAATACATAATAGGCTTTATAGGCCATCCGTGAAATTCAGAGTACCACAAAGTTAAAATTACAAAGTTCAAGAGTAAATTTATGGATTCAGCCAAAAATCAAACACAATCAGGACATTAACATGGTAACGAATGAGACAATTCTGATTATTAGGTGCTGCACAGTGAACCCTTGATTACGACAAAATCCACAGGCAAAGCCTAACAGTAAGTACACAACATTATCTGACACATAGATTTGGAGGCACAAACACTGAAAGCCAAAAATAAAAATGTAATGAACCATATGGTATCATACAAGTATTCAGGTATAAATACATACATATATACAACTCGACAAAACAAGCTTTGGTTATGTACTGAAGTAATCATCTTGAGAGCTGCAAGGTTACCATTTTGATGTTTCAACATTAGCTGGAGCTCAATTAATCAAAAGAAGATCCAGGTTCTATCCAGGTACATAAAAATCCATCTTCTCCACAGGCAGGTTCAGAACTGATGTTCCCACCTATCCCAAAAAAATAAAAATAAAAAAGAAGCCAATTGTTTCCCACAATTTAGTCTCTAATAGTCGAGAAATCATGTTGAATGAAAAGGTCGGAATGTGGAGTGGAGAAGAATGGTTCAGTGAAGACATGTCACCAAAGAACAAAAATACATTAATTACCTCCTCAAATGGAACAAATACAAAAGGCGCAAGACCCCTCCTGTGTGAAGTGCGCGAAATCTCATCCTCTTGCCAGTCCTCGATGACTTCATCAATGTCTTCTTTAGGTCCACTGACCCCATCACCGTCCACTCTACTTGTAACAAGTGAGAGTACATCCATTCGATTATTAGCCCCAGCAACTGTTCCTCTCAACCTACAGCAGATGATCAGCAAAACTATCAACAGGAAGGAGATACAAACAAAATGGGAGGGAAAAAAAAAAAAGAGAAAGAAGCCCTTGACAGAGAATGATAGGAGAAATTCATGTTTACAGCCTTGGCAAAGTCATTAACATACACGGGTTCATTTCCAAGTACTCGAGGGTAATCCACTCCTTGTATGGAATAAATGCATTCACACAATTTTGTGGAATTCATTTATAAAAATCCAAACCAAAAAAGGTAGAATTTCCAAATAAATTCTACAAATTTAAACAACCAAAAGCTTTATGAAAAAACTCTTCATCCTCTTAGCCTTCTAACATTATTATGCCAAGGGTATTTTAGGAATAAAAGAAAATGAATTCTCAATTTTTGAATTTATTCCAAACATGAAAATTTCATTTACAAATGAATTCTATATAGAATTCATTTATAAATAAATTCCACATTTCGACTTCATTTATACCGAACAATATGTCAATAATGTATATGCCTTCCCTCCATAAGTGATTAATAACCATAACAAAGTTGACTTATTTACTTACAAGTAAACAAAATTAATCAACGAATCCAGTTTAACCTAACAATTAGTGCCGGGAAACATTTTATCAAAAAGTAAACTCAAACTAATTATAAAACCTAATTATTGCAGTGATTGTACCATTGCCAATTTAACATCAACTAGAGCAACACAAATATATTATGTATATATAATATTTTCATGAACACGTGCTTTAATTAGAATTTTAATTATCTTCTCTATCAAAATATTCCATGGAAACATTGCAAGAGATCTCAAACATACAATGTACAAGGGTCTCTAAAATTTTACTTCATAAGCAGTCGGCACCAAATTTGTACCTCAAGCTAATCAACAAGAATAACTAAATCTTAAATCCCAAACTAGGGGAAAAAAAAACAGCATCAAGCATTAAAGTTTCCAAATACAACTAATTGTAATGGTTAGGCTCAATAAAGATCGAGTAAGATAAACACCCCAAGGGAATTATATTTACCAAACAACCAGAAAATGTATCTCAAAGAACTCAGATGGGTGATAAACAAAACTATCATTCATGCAATAATTGACATTTAGGGTGAACAATCAGACAATGGAAAAGGGAAAAAAAAAAAAGAAACAAAATCCCACCGTTGTATAATGAGTAGCACTAGACTAGAAAAAAAAAACTTTAAAAGGTAGACAGCAACAGCAGACATGAGACATAATAACTGTGCCAAACAATAATGATTTTACCATTGCGTTGGGGGACAGATCACATGAACAAACTCTGCAAGAATATTTAAAAAACAAGGACGACATCTATCTTTGTCAAATAGCACGCGCATTTCCTCGCATGTTATAGAACAACTTTTACTTCTAAATCAAACTCAGTTACAGCCTATCTTCTGTCAGCCTAACAATGGCATGCATACAACTTCGCTTTATCACCAATGCACAAAGCCAATGCAGAAAACTGAATGGCAATTGTTCAGGCAAGAACATTAAATACCTTAAACGTATTTTCCATAGAGTAGGGAGCAAGCCAGGGTACCGGAAAAAAGCTTCAACCTATAATAAATGTCTAAGAATAAAGACCTTCAAAATGAACATTGAATAAAAGTGAAGGAAATAAAATGAGAAAGAAATTTTGCATTTTGGATCAAATTAAACTCTCAAAACTTATAGAAACACTAAATGCAGAAAAGAACATAAAGAATTTGTAGAACAAAGAACCAAATTATAGCAATCCAGTATAGAACTCTACCTTGTCATCAGTCAAAGTGAATCGACCAATAAAAACATCATCAGATTTAGTTGCACGGAGATTCATGCATTTAGCAACCTCCTTCACTGTATGAGAAGAATTCTATACATCACAAAATAACAGATTAAAATGGTTAGAGAGAGATGAAAATATCTATGTTCAACTGAAAATTGAGAGACTGTTACCTTATAAAGAAACCTTCCTGAAGGTAAAAATCTCATGTAACGATAATAGCAAACCTGCAGTAGGAGGGAGAGAAATCAGGATAACAATGACAAAAGCTACTTGAACCAAGTGAGTAGGCATGTTTTCTTTTCCACTTCTAAAATTTTTCCAATCCAATTATAGGCTCAACACAGATGCATCAATCAGGAAAATATCCATACATCCATATTTTCTTGAATATTCAATCTCACTATTCAGTGTACTCTCCACATCTCATTCTGATGCCTGACAGCAAAAGAAGAATACAATCATCGTACATGCATAAAGAAGTTTGAACAGTAAATTCAATATTCCATGCAAATGGCTGACCCATAAATGTACAATGCAATGAGCTTATGAGCACAAAGGAAGTTAGAAGAGTGCATTAATCTGCATTCAGAAGAAAATATTACAACTAACAATGCTCATTTTAATTTTACTTCTCTTATAAACATTTAAACCCAGTTACAGGCGTGGAAAAATAATAGCCATACTGCAAAGGAAGTCCTGTAACTCATGATGGATTAGGATAAAGTGCTATCTGGCTCTAGATAATTTTGATGTAAAGTTGACTGTCTCAACTCAGTAAAGCAGCTGAACAATAATAACCACATTGAACCCATCAGCATCAAGCATCATATTCACATTTACTAAAAGCTACGTCCACCAGCTGTTGTTATCATTAAATGTTGTATACATATACGTATTAAATTATAAATACGGATAGAAATAATATTTTGAATATAAATAGTATTGTATTCCACATTATATGACACAAAATTACAATGTGAACAAATTTTTTCAAAGTCAGGGAAAAATCAAGGCGCAATAAAAAAAATTCAGATGAGGTGAGGCAGGGCAGATTCAAACCATCTCTACCCCACTGCCATTGGCGGGGCAGAGATCACCCTATCAGGTTTTAAGGCAAGGCACAAATTTTCCTTAGGGACAGGGTAAGTTTTCCATCACTGGGTATCATTACAAGTAGACTAACTTAGGTATTTCAACCAGCTGATGATAGGAATACGACTATAGGCCCACTGCTTTACTTGGTTTATTCTAGAAGAGGCAAGAAGAGCAGGAGTGGAAATCAAGGAAGAGGGGACACATCATGAAATCAGTTATGCTTTTGCTGTATATATTGAGTCAGTTTTGGAGAGAGAGGCATCTTTTTGGAGACCTTTTCTGGCTGGGCAGATTATTCTCTGCACAGGCTGTGCCTGGGGGTTGATTCATCAACCATTTTGTCCTTTTATTTCTGTCCCTCCATTGTTCTTTTATTCACAGCGCTTTCATTATCTTTGTAAATCCAGATTTGCAATTAATGCAAAGTTATCCTCTCCAGATCTTGCTTGTTAATCTCCTGAATTAATTCTGCTGTTATATTTATTTGTTCATCAATGTTCACTTCTCTAACATATGATTATCTTGAAAAACTATAATTCCACCCACCGAAAATAGCTTTTTTTCCTTGAGAGATTTTCAATACGTGAGTTATGATCTGCCAAAGAAATGCATGGTCACAAAAAGTTCACTAAGAGCACAGAGCATGACATGTCGCAATCTACTTACAATTTCACATTACAAGTTGTAAATTTGATAAACTCCTCAAATTACAAAAATTACACAAGCTTTCATACTCATAAAACTACAGTTTCCTTGAAAACTGATGAAAATTGAAGAAGATATTGGCCTTTCCTTCCTGCTGAAGTACATTTTTCTTGCATTATGTTGTTCTAGCCTAATTTTATAACTCAAGACCTTATGCAAGAACCATAATTGCATGAATTGCAAATTATCCAAAAAAGTATTGTGTAAACAGGACATAAGCATACCAAATGAACAGGATTGGTGACCGTCCACTCTCTCACACCAGTACGAATATAGGTGTTCCTACTCACATAGAGACCTGACACATGAGAAATAGTAATACATTTTGAAGTTACTTTTTGTAGATCCAAATATAAAGATAAGACGATCAAAATTGAAAAATGAAAGGAGAAGGCATGGATACAATCAATTTTCATTGACAAAAATGCAAAGAAGTCAGTTTTGTTCATGCCAAAGCCAAACTTCTATCTTCATTTTTTATTATTTTCGCCAAAAATTTCAACAATTATAGCCTGAAGTGGTCTCTGCTACTTATACATAAAAGAGAAACAAAGCACAGAACTTATTAAATATTAATCCTTTCACCACCAATAGTTAACAACATAAATATGATGAAAATAAAAACAAAAATATAAGATATGCCTCACTTCAACTTCCATCCCTTATTACTATAAGAATACAGAAATTACTTTCCATTCAAATTAATTTTGACAACTTGAGTTTCTCAACATTCTTTTATTATAGTAAAAGACCATATTCTTCAATTTTGAGACGGCAATATTTAAGAATCTTGGCCTTCAAAGATAACAAAGATAAAATATCTGTTTTGGAAAGACAAAATATTTGTTTCAGAAAGTATCGTTAAGAAGAATGATAGATAGAAATTGGACATGCCTAAATATCTAGATATGAGTGTTACAATGTCTTGATAAGTGAAACAACATCATCAAATGCAAGAGAAAATATATTCTTGAGACTTTGAAGGGGAAAAGAAAGAGGAGAGAAGGAAGATATAGCTCTAGTAGTATAGAGAATAACAAAAAGAAGTATAAGAATTGTATTTTAACTTTTCTGAAGAAAAATTTGAAAGATAAACTCATGAACTGACTGGTGTTTTATTATAGAAGCTTGAACTAATTGGTACTTTACCAGAGAGGAGAAAAAAAATTGGCACCCAACTTTGAAAAATGTAGACCCACATTGTTAGAGTTAAGAACACAGCAGAGATAAATTAAAGAGAAGATAGAAGAAGAAACTGAGGTTAGATGAAATTAGAGATTGGAACTTCCATTAAATGAGATTTCAGATTTACAAGCAGGTCTTGATTGAGGAACAAGAAAGATAATAACAGAAAGGGAAAATAAAGTAAAAAGGTTGCAAGCAACCCCTAGGACCAGCCCGATACAGAGCGAGACCCCCTGCCAAAAATAACAAACTCTGTGATTTTTTTGATAGCCTCTCATTCCAATCACTAGCTATATATTGATTACCCCCTAACAGAATCTGCTGATGTGTCCAGCAGAGTTGCTAATTCCTTTGCTGCCCTCTTTGTTCTTTGTTTCTTCTAGAATAAACCTTGTAGGGCCTTGGGCTTTTCTCAACAATCCTATCAAACACAGTGAGCAAGGTAGAGAGGGGGGAATGACAAATTAACAATTTGTTTGGTTAGCAGAGAAAGGGATTGAAAGAAAGAAAGAAGTATGAAATAAAGGATCACAACTTTTCCTTTAGTTTGTTTGCTTAAGGAAGATGGGAGATCAAAGAAAGAGAAATCACAAATTCACATACAAAATCAAGGGGCAAATTGGAAATTAAGGTGAAGAATAGCACTTGCTCCCAATCTTGATGGTGGTTCATGAGCTCATGAAGCATGAAGATTATTATTTATTTTTTATTTTTTTACTTGTTTCTTTCATTTAATTCCTTCCAACGAAACCTCTTCCTTCTTTCTACTTATCCTTCCAACCAAATAGACTCTAAAGTGAAGAGACAGACAAATGCCACATCCTGTATGGAAACTAAATAAACCAAAATAAAGCCACTCTGAAAGACTTTAGGTGGCAAACTAAGTCCAATATACATAGGAAGAGAGAATCAGTTAAGGAACCATAAAAAAATTCAGTAAATCAAGATGAAATAGTGAACTTCTAAATTTCACTTAAAAAAAAAAAAGGAACAAGATTGCTGTTAAACTAAAATTAAAACATACCATCAGTACGGACCCTTGGTCTTAAAAGCCACATTTTCCTCCATGAACTCTCATATTTTGATTGCAAAACCTTATAGTTTTCTACCACTCCAGATAGCTGCATAAAAGATAAGTCCATATTCAAAATTGGATTCAATGAAATGAGAAAAAGATTAATTGGATGCTACCAATATTGAGACTTACCTGCCAAGCCTTTAAGCAAGCACTACGCCAGAATACAGGGTTACGAACAGTGTATCTCCATTTTCGACAAACACAAGCAGCCCTTCCTAAATCATATGGATTCATTCGTAAAAAAATCTGCATAAGAATATATATATTATGGCTCTCAGCTAGAGTTTCTCGTCATCTACAATACAAGTAAAATGCCCTTCTTTTAGAAAGAGCTCGTTGTTTTAACATAGAACTTCTGTTTCAACTGATGCAAATTCCACACATTATTCATGGGACCCATTTCCCCTTTTTTTACAATGATCCATAAACAGATGACTCCAATCTATCAACATTCACAAGTTGCCTCACTATATTGCAACGCTCTAATCAACAAAGTCAAAAGTTGAATGCTCTTTTCTATTTCTTAAGATACCCAACTTAGTCTTCAAGTCAAGACAACCTTCATATCGACTGTCCAACTTATTTAATATAGTAATGGTTGAGTAAATTTTGCATAGCTTGTGTCGTCTCTGTATAACAACAGCTCATTGAAAATAGAAAATCAAATTCAAAACAAAAAAATAATAATAATAATAATACATTGGCATGAACTACCTCCAGTAGCAGCTCATCAGGCAAGCTTCGATGTATCAGTGCAGGATCATAATTTTGTCTTCTAACTGCACTCTCATATGGTGCAACTGGTCGAACGTTAATCCCATAAAGATCTGAAACGAAACCTTGAAACCATAAGAAAACATAAAAATACACAAACATGGCCAAACGATAATAATTAAAACGAAAATTAAAAAAGAAAGAGAAAAACGAAATGAAGCAGTGACATTGGGCATTACCAAGCCAGGGTCTTCGCGTAACTAAGTACTGGACAGTCTTCAATTGCAAAGCTGTCTCGAGCTCGGCAGGAACTTGAAATGCCAAATCTATAAATCATTGTAAAGAATAATTAAAAAGAAAAAAAAATATGAACTTATTTGATCAGGATAACAGAAAAATAGACTTTCATGGCTGTGTTTGGATAGCTAGAAAATGTGTTTTAAATTTCTCATTATCAGATAGATGGTGATAATTACCAAAATCCACACCTACAAGCATCTAATTCGGGAAACTTGCATCAGTTACACTATGATCAAAATTTGATTTAGCTTCCATATATCTCAGTTAATGTAAGTCTCTTTCAGAGCTTTCAATTATATAAAACGAAAATTTCTCAAAAAAATATATATATAAAACGAAAAGATTACGAGGGTAAATTATGAAATTGAAATAGCAAATATTAAACAATAATGAGAATTAGATTACCTGAAGTCATGTGGATTACAGACAGATATAATTTTTCCTGTTTGGCACAAAGATAAGTTTCTGTCTTTCCTTCTCGATTTTCTCGGAAAACTCGGGAAGTGAAAATTGAGAACGAAGAAGGAAAAAGAAAATGGAAGGAGAAGGAGTGTTAGCATACAATCGCGTCTATTAAAAGAGAAAATACCGACTATTGTTACCCTGTTAGAATTGCCCTCCGATCAATGATCTATATGGATAGACCGACTCTGGAAATAAGATACAAAACGACATTAATGTTTGACGTTTTGAATAGTGACCACAAAATAGGGACAATTCAATGGAACAGAAACATTCTAATTTTCATTACTTAATGCGGGATTTAGAGGGCGTTTGTCCAACAGCTAATATCATCTTTTGTTCAGTATTGTTACTGACTGTACTACTGTTTTGATTTTTGGTTTTTTCTTTCCAAATTAAATATTTGTTTTTTAGGAATCAAGTTAACGAAAAAGTGTTTGGTTTCTTATAACCTAATAAAACTAGTAAATAGATAGTTATAAATACTATGATATTTGATTCGACTGATAATATATTTAGATGGAAATCTTTTATATACAAATAATCGTAAGTAATTTTTATCCACGATGTTATAGTTTAAAATTTAAAATTATTACTATGAAAATGATTTTATGAATGACGTAAATATAAAATTACTCAATTTCAAAATCGGTAAAGAAAGCTCCGGTCCTTCAAATGGAAATGGAAAATGTTAAGAAATTTGTGAATTTGTTGATTTGTGCACTTTAGATTGATGGCCAAAAAAGATTATACAAAATATGGGATAAACCAGACATGACTTAAATACAGCATTCCTCTCTGCCATGGTTTTTCAATGACAGTCTGTCGTTTGATTTACAAAGTTTGTCTTTTACCAAAACGATAAAGTCGTTACCATCAAACAGGTCATTTCATTTAAACAAACGACATTCTTCCCCAACCTATTTGCGAATTTCCGGTCGTTCAACTGCACAAGAGCAATCCATAAATAAAATTAATTTCCAACTTCCAAGAAAAATACTTCACACTGCTTCAAATTGAAAGTAATTTAGAAGCCTACTTCCAATAGCTAATGACTTATTAATGGGCTTATATTAAAGCTTAGATCCATTACAAGTCACAACTGGACTGATGTTTCTTTAATTGGATCTTGGCCCGACATTGGTGTTTTCGAGTGAGAAAAGTTACTCATTTTCATGTTTTTTATTAGATTATCAAAAATTTTTATATCTAATTGCTACTATAAAATTTTTTATTACCTAAAGTGCTTTAGATTCATATCTCATTAGCAACCTATTTTTCCCTTTTTTTTTCCAATTATTTAGAAATATATAGCACCTTAGCCTAAGCAACAAAGACCATATATACTTAAATTAAATAAAATAATTTTCTCGCACATGATTTGTTTTTACTTAAAAATCAAAATTTCTTTATTGGTCTTGGCCGACATTGGTGTTTTCGAGTGAAGAAAGTTTAAGTCATTTTCATGTTTTTTATTAGATTACAAAAATTTTTATATCTAATTGCTACTATAAAAATTTTTATTTACCTAAAGTGCTTTAAGATTATATCTCATTAGCAACCTATTTTTCCCCCTTTTTTTTTTCCATTATTTTAGAAAATATATAGCAACCTTAGCCTAAGCAACCAACCATATATACTTAAATTAAATAAAATAATTTTCTCGCACATGATTTGTTTTTTACTTAAAATCAAAAAAAAATATATTAATATATATATATATAAATAAATATACTCCCTCAAATATACTCCCTCCATCTCCAATAGATAGTCCACTTTCTTTTTTCATAAAAATTAAGAATTGAAAGTTATTATGATGAGTGGACATTTTTATTGCCATAATTTTCCTATTACACTCGTCTTAAACAATACACGAGCAATTATTATATTGAAATAATAAAAATCATATTAATAATATAAAATAATAAATATAAATTCTAATTAATGAGAGTGACTAACATTGATGACTTTTTAAAATTTAAAAGGAAAAAATATAAAAAATAACACTTATTAGTAACACATAGATTGAAAGGAAAAGTGATTTGAGAAAAGTAACGAATTAATGAAGATTATAGAAGATAAGATAAAATTTAACAAATGCATAATAGATAATTTAAAGATTAACTGTTAATTATAATATTAAAAAAATAAGTTATTTATATTTTTAAATATAAATATAGTAGCATTAATTAAAAAATGTCCTAAAAAAATAGTAACAAAAAGTCAAATATTGCAATATTGACAAACCAATACGTAGTGGACTGTTTTTCCTGAACAATTAGTAGCAGTTTTTATGGATAAAAAGCAGGTTGTTTGTGGTGGTGGTGGTTAGAGGTTAACATCTGTTAATGGTCTGTTTTTACTTTTTAACTGCCAGACAAGACAACATTCATATTATGATAATGAAGGTAGTTCAAGCATTAATTCAAAGCCGATCTTTAAAGATTCCAAAAAATATAAGGTCTTCAATTGGAGTTTATAAAAGTTTTATTGAGTATAATTTAAAAAAAAAAAAAAAAGTTATTCTCAATTGTATAAAAGGTCCCCAATTGTATAAATTTTTAATTTGGATTCTTTTGATAATGTGTATTTCCGTTATCTCAAAATATAAAATTATTTAAGGTTTTTATACTGAGATTAAAAAAATAATTAGTTCTCTAAAATTATAATAAAATTAAAAATAATTTACTCAAATTATCATTTATCTCAAAATGAAGGGTGACCCATGAAAAATAATTGTTTTATCTAATATAAATAGAGGTAAAATTAAAAATAAATTATTTATTATTCTTTAAAATGCTCTACATGTCTTTATGTTTTGGAAAAAGAAAATCACACTGGAACTGACTTTTACTTTGCGAGATAACTATTAAATTACTGCTATGTAAAGAGAATCTTTATTTCTAATTGTATAGCTTATTGTAAACAGACGGGGCCTTGGATTCAACTTTTTTCATGCAGTGGGTAGTTGATTGGGGGCCTAATAACCGGATCAAAAGTATTTGGTAATGATTCTAATGAGGAACGGATGGTTGACAAAACTTTCAATCCATTGGTGATTCCATCAGGTGGATGTAGGAGCTTCTTGCAAATTATTATTTGTATTTTATATAAATAGACTAAAATATCATATCGCTCATAACGCAATATATCTCTCATATTTTTTTTCTTCTAAAGTTAATATATTTTATTGATCGACATATATTAACTGTGTTGTATTGTGTTTTTATTAGATAATTGATAGTTTTTATTAATATGTTTAATTTTTTGAGAGGAAATATGTTTATTAATATTAAGATACATAGTTTGATCTATAGGCGCATAGATTTTATTAATTAATATACATAGTTTAATTAATTTTTTTATTTTTTAATTCATTAGAAATAGATTAGAAATATTTTATATGTAAATTTTAATTTATTTGAAAAATATTTTTATTGGTCATTTTACATATTAATAGCAACAATTAATTACACATTTACCAAATATTCATTATTCATCCGCTACCAATAATAACTATCCGCTATCAGCAATTGCCGTTAGCTGTTTGGAATCCTTGAACCAAACAGGGCCTTAAATTTTTATTTATGCTAATTATGGTATTATTATTTTTGTAAGCATATACATTCGAGTTAGATAAGCCTCCTTATTTTTTACTGCCGGTGTTTTTTTTTTATATTTTGAGCAGTATTATTTATTGATTGATTGATTGATTTTTAATTTTTTAATTAATATTGATATATTAACGAGCTAATAAGAAATAAAAAAAAAATACTCCTGTTGAGATTAATTGTCTACGTCAATTGAATTTTATACGTATACGACAGTACGGTTAACTACTATCAATGTCAGTCTAGTTTTTGGGCCTATGACAGTTGGAAAATACCAAAGAGTCAAAGAGAGACACAATTTGGATACATGTGGGACACTAAAGAGAGAAATTTACAACTATTTTGGAAAATGGATGTGGGCGTTTTAACAATACCATCATCCCTCCCTCCCACACAAAAGATAAAATTATTTATATTTTTACACATTAAAAAAATTAATTAATAAAATAGTTACTTTTACCTACAATAAATGTCTCAATAAAATATATGTATAAATAAAATTAGTGTAAAAAATATGTCACTATTGTAGAACAATTAATGTTCTACATTAAATTAGACATCACTTACAATAATAAACATTTTGAACAGAAAACTTATTGATAATAACATATTAAATAGGAATAAATTAGAAAATTAAGAAGTTAATTACATTATAAAAGAGAAAGTAGCCTATAATTCGAGATAATTAAAAAAAAAAGAAGAAAATTTATATTTGTGGGACGGAATGATTAGCCAGTATGGGTTACAACAGTTCGAGTTTATTTGGGTAATCAATCCTATTTGGTCATAATAGGACGAGTTCAAGTAGTTAATAAATTTATTCAAATAGTATTTTTACTATTTGGTTTGAGTTTGGGTTCAAGAATTTGAATACTTACCTATTCATTATCTATTTAATTTATATTTTAAAACATTAAAAATATTTTTTTCACAAAAAATAAATATACCTTTGTAATTATATTTAACATAGATATTGTTCTTTTTATTAAGTAAACATAGAATTTTATCATTTTTATTTGTTTATTTTTAAAATTAAAAAATACATTTTTTAATAGATATTTAAATAGGTTCAAATATTAAACAAGTGATTTAATTGGTTTGAGACAAGTTTAGGAATTAAAAGTGAATTTTTAACGAGTTCAAAATGAGTTCAGGTTAAAATTAGCAATAGATTGGACGGACACATGCTTAAGATGTATTATATATGAATCCAATTATAAGTTAAGCATCTAAACATCTCTACCATTCAATTACTACTACTTTTTAATATCATAATCTGTTTAATATTAAAAAGATTCTTTTATTTTTTCAGTTTTAAAATAAAGAATAAGTAAATATGATAATTTTTTTAACGTTCTAAATATAATTATTTTTACTAACAGATACTAATTATATTTAGAAAATTGTGTATTCATAATTATTTTTTAAAAATAATTATTTTTTAAATATTAATTAAATATGTGATGGTTGATAGTAAAATCTTTGAACTCATGTCCCATACAAATAGTGAGATATTATTTAAACTCCTTTGAATTTGATTATTCAAAATTGGATCAGATTGGATTATATGGATGGATAAAATTGTCATCCTTAAGTTGGATCCGTAATTTATAATTAGATTCAAATAATACATTTGAAGCGAGTATATGATTCAAAAATTCAATAA